TATACCGATCAGGTGTCAGTTTTTCAGGTAGATCTGTTCGGAAGCCCAGTGCTAGTCTAAGGGCAGCCAGATCGAAATGTACATTTGTCTATTTGCATCCAATTAACCCCAGCTATGGCCAAGTCAGGAAAACAAAACAGAAACTAGTTTCATTTTGGCAGACCTGATGGTGGCGGATCAGGGGGTAGTCTGATATAAATGGACACATGTCTGTTTACATCTAACTACCCATAGACCAATATGGGTCGGGTAATTTCTTTTTTTTCCTCTATCACAAGATAGAATAAAAAACTGGACGGACTCGGATGTCACAATGGTGACATCCATACTGAACTGCTCCGATCAGCAGGGCATCTGTGCACGTGCTGTTCGGAACTGAAGGCATCTGTGTGAAAATGGCCTGAAGAATTTCACTTCTGTTTTAAAAATTAGCTCACTTTCAACTAAAATGTCCCAATTTGTATCCCTTGGAGACATGATACCCAAACAGAGACCCAACGAGGAACTTTACCCACCAATTTAATGCCTCCCAAAACAGTTACTTTTAAGGTATCCCAACTGTCATGGTTCCAGAATGCTTATTTCAGCTCTGAACCGAACTTTCAAGCCATCAAACAGCTGATAACATGTGCAGCACCATGGCAACTGCAATCCAAATAGAAGCTAAGATGGTGCCTTACTTGGCAGTAAGGAATCGGAGATTGTAATTCCACCTACAGTAACTTTCTAAATGCTGTGGCCTACACCAGGTGGCATCTCAGTGTTCTGGGAGCCAACCGAATGCACAGTATGGCACTACATATTATAAAGCGTAAAGGACAACCTATCCATACCTGGATTATGGGTTGGTCATTATAATTTATGGCAGACAGCCAGCACATGGGCAGTATACAGCACCAGTTGTTGGCCACAGTGTTTATAACCGCTGTCATCTGACCTGAGTCTCTCTGTTTGGGTGCATTTCTAATGAGGAGAGCTACTGAAGATTTATTTGGTGAAAGTGTACTAATCCTTTAAATAGCATAACATTCCAGAGAAGCAAGAGAAATGATACGCTGAAGCTTAGCTTGTAGGGTCCATGTTTGATACCACTATTAGCAGAATTGTTATGTAGTTCTCTGAACCTCCAGGTCACATTTACTTTACAATAAAACATTTTTAGATCATTGATAATTTCTTGTTTGTATGCCAAATGTTTGTATGCCAAAAATTTGTATTATCAAGCTCTTACAGGTCTTTAAGGTTAAGAAAAGGAGATTCAGTATGGCAAATTAGAACTTACACCTACATTAATTCCACTTTAATGAATATTTGTTTTCCGACAGGATATTCTAACATTATAACCAAGACCAAATACATATGTAAGACCTAGCATTGGCTGCCACTCACTACACAGCCACCATGATAACAAAAGGAAACACATTGGTATTTATACATTAAAATTGACTGCAAAATCTGCACTATGGATTAATTTTGACTTGCTGATTAAATAAAACAATAGCACTGGTGTGTGTGTTTTCTTTAGTTTCAAAGAAATGACATCTGTTTAAACAAAAAAAAAAAACATGTGTACGCGAGGAAAGAAACTGCAGCTAAAATGAATTAAACTCCCGTTCTTTTCTTTCTTATTTTATAACAGAAAAAATGCCCATTATGACGGGAAGTAGCTCATTAGACAGCAGGTCCCTTTTTATTACAGTGGTTATGACGATTTGTCCCAAAAGTAGGTCAAAAATAAATCAGAGACATCCAACTCTGTGGTGTGCAAGGAACCATTTGCGCGGTCATTTATATACTTTTATTTGGGCATAGCAAGCAATTTCTTGTTGAAATGCTCCTTTTTGAAAAATCACATGCTGTTTATATAAAACATGCATACATTGTCTTCTATGTTTAAGTGACTCTTCTATTCTTTTTTAATGTTGGATTAAAAAGCAGATACTACACATAATGCTTTACTGCAGTCATGTGACTCTCATACATCATTCTGTCACTTATTCTGTTATCCGCACACTGTATTCAAATTAAAACTTGGAAGTATAATGACTATGCTAATTAACGTAGCTTTGCTTCTATCTATGAAGTCAATATGTTAACGCTAATGTTCCAGGCAGATGAATGAAAAAATAATCCATATAGTAATTGTAACTGTTGCTTAGGTAATAATTTATTGGCAATATGCATACAGACTATCATCATCACCTTTCCACACAGGTTATAGTCTGATTGTACATTCACTGTTCGATCTACTTTAGATTTAACCAACAACTTTTTCTTGTCTGTCTGAACTGGAAGCTGTGCCCACAAAAATGGAGGCAGAGGACAAAGAGCTAGTCACCAACATTGTCTGCAGTCTCTACAGTTGACCGTTTCCCCATTACTGACATTCCATGCCTTGTCCTGCACTGTGTCTTTGTGCGGAGCTGGTCATCTTAGTAGAGGCAGGTTTATTTCCTCATATAAGAGCCTCCGAGCAAGAAAACACTGAGCAGCACAGTAGTGACCTTACCAAATCTCATCCAAAATCTAGATTAGCAGTCTTAGCAGCAATGCCTTAGATCTCACACTGCAGATATACAGTTATGAGTATGTAGGCACAGTCGTGCCAACTCTGGCGGAACTACCAGGCTCGCAGCGGTCGCAATTGCGACCGGGCCCTGGCATTCCGCCACTTGGGGGGGGGGGCCAGCGAGGAAGAAGAGTGCCCCCCACGCCCCGGAGAGAGGGCCGCTCCTTCCCTGCCACACAGCTGCCCGCAGCATGTACGGGCAGCTGTGCGGCAGGGATGGGAGAGGCTGTCACCAGCAGAATATGCTGCAGGCACCGACGGGCAGCACATTCTGCTGTGTGAGGACCCAACCCTCTTAGCCCCGCCCCCTAAACGGGGGGGGGGAGAGGGCTGCTGGAGAAGGAAGGTAAGTCTGGAGTGGGAAGGTGGGGCGCTGACTTCTATTATAATGTATTGCTGAGACTTGTTGTAGTCCCGCATAGCTGGTGGTATTCTACGTTGCTGTATGATGATTATACAGTAATGCAGAATAGCTCCAACTATGTGGGACTACAAGTCCCAGCAATGCATTTAAATTTGGGGGGGGGGTGCTGGTGGCATTCTGCATAGCTGACTTATTATAATGTATTGCTGGGACTTGTAGTACCGCATAGGTGGTGGTATTCTGCATTGCTGTATGATGATTATACAGCAATGCAGAATAGCACCAACTATGTAGGACTACAAGTCCCTGCAATGCATTATATTTTTAAGTAGCGATACACCAGTGTTAATACTGGGCATTTTCACGAGTACTTATACTTATACTCGTGAAAATGCCTCAATACTAAACACAGATATCGGTGTTCTGTCGAGAAAGCGATGTAGTCGAATTTGCCAACCTCAGCATCTGCGCTTACACACAGACCAGTATTATTGAGGGAACAGGGATTCATTTACAAAGTATTTTGTTTAAATTGTTAATTGTGACCGTTAATAATATTCCATTCATTATTCACTGCCATGGACGGCATATTATTAACGGTCACAATTAACCATTACAAACGAATACTTTGTAATTAAATGCCGGTTTCCTCGGTAATCCCGTCTGTATGCAAGCACAGATACTGGGTCAGCGTTCTCGACAGAACACTGCACTAAAATTTTAAACAAGCTGCTGCCTGAGGTCCTGTGCTTGCTTGGGATCTCGGCAGCCTTCCTGTTAACCATGCGGTGCCATGGCGGTTGGGGGGGGGGCCTTCATGGTTTCTTGCACCGGGGCCCTGAAGCTTCTAGTTACACCTCTGCATGCCAGGCATCTTCACATTCCATGAACGGCATTGCTATTGTTCAGGCGGAGTTCCTTAAGGTATGTTTTTCAGGGTACTGCTTAGGCCTAATTAACATTCTAAATGTTCCTTATAACATAGCAAATCTTCACTTTTTTAATTCCCCTTTAAACAATTAATTCAATTTATATTTAGTCAGGTAGATGAGTCTAGTGTGTGTTCCCTTTATTGTCTCAAGTCTGGTGTGTTTTTCCTTCTCAAGACAGTGTTGCCAGTCGGTCTTTATCTCTTTCTCTACTGTTCTGTGTTTGTAGTCTCTGCCCTTACCAGCCAGGGCTAGTGCATCCAAGTCTGTTCTTCCTCTCACACTTTAGCCTCTGTCTGTTTCTATATTTGGCCTAGGTCATTATTTGTTGTACAGCATATTCTGGTTCAGGTGCCCCTGGTTCCTGCACCCAATGAAAGCCATTTTCCATCAGGTGGCAACAGAATATACTCCTATCTGTATACCCTGATCCCGTACCTGCTCTTATTTATGTCTGCAGATTTCTGCTATTGCTCTAAGGGGGAATATCTACTATGCTCCCGTCATCAAATTCCTTAGCTCCAGGAGTTTCAAAACCCCTACATATGGTCAGCAGTTCCCTGCTATCCGTGACACAGACTACTGCTGCTAATGCTTGCTGGCAAAAACTTTACAATCAGGCTGTTATATGTATGGTCAGCGTAAATCTAATACACACAGTCATAAAGGTATTTAAATACAGGCTTCCTTCCATGTTGGTGAGATTCAAATTCATACATATAAATGTCACTTATCAGTTGATGAAATCAAGTTTTATAAAATATGCCCATTGTGATTTGCATTTTTTTAAACACACAGCCAAATAAATGATTACCAGGATAGAATATTGTCCATGCATTATGACAAAGTTGGCACCCATATATATGACAAAATATGGCAGTGAGCCGCCTTTTTTACCTAAATAAGGTACCAATTCAAATCAAAATGAAAAAACTAGAACAATAATCTGCCTGGTCAGCTATAACTTCTGTACTAGTATTTTGCACATAATTGTAGTCCCCAAATCTAACTTATGATCTGATTATATTTATGTGACTGCTAATTATACTTCACATGCACCGCTATGTAATCACTTTACTATATAACAGTACAATACAGAAACTCACTGGAAAAACTGGCGGATGCACCATGTTCCTACCTTTTTGAGCTTGCCACTCTTGGTCCCCACAAATGCCAGGGAATGGTTTTTGTAGACATAGGCGATGACGGAAGTCATTCTGTCCCGATCCTCTGTGAAGACAGGGTACCCTCTAACCATTTCCGATACTCCCAAGGGTGCATTCATGTCCAAACCACAGAAATCATCAGCAATTGTTATGAGCTGTAGGAAACATACAACAGATTTGTTAATAGGTTATAAGATATTTGTTATTATTATGTCGGACTTCCAAACCTTCACATGGTACCTCACGGCCAAACTCTCAAACTCCCTGGGGGGCCTAGATGTACTCTGATCACGCCTAGTGGGTCCCCTAAGAGGCCAAACAAACATTATACTTTCATGATGTCCTCTTGCCCGCCTGCCACATTTTTAGAATGTCTCCTTAGCAAACTTAAAAGGCACCCCTTGACGTTTGACCTGTCCTTCATTAATAAGGTAGACTCCGATTACTGACATAACTGCTACTGATGGTTCTAGCAATGTTAATGGACACAGTTATTCCTACTCCATGCAGTGTTGATTTGTTTTTCTTAGATATGTTCTGTTAATAGGTTGTTAACTGTTTGTTTGCATTTATAAACTATGTGGTGAGTGATTTCCACTCATCCTCATAGTTAGAGCCGACCTGTGACAAAGAAGCTGTCACAGGTTGGCTCTATTGATCAGGAATGAGCAAACACATACCATCACTCGCTCATTTTCGATCATCTCCCTGCATGAGCGGTGACTCTCAATCACCGCACCCCGCAGGGAATCCCCCTTCCCCTCTTCTCCAGCACTGAGTGGAGGAACGGATGGGGCGGGTACAGATGGCCCTGCCTCTAGATAAGCAGAGCCCAATGTCACTCACGCAGCTGGGTGGATCCAGACAGTATTGCCGGGATCTGTCCCGGGGTCCGGCGCTCTCAGTGTATATTCACGGGAGGAGGTTAGTATATGTCCTCCCGTGAGCCTAAATAGAACTAATGGGAAAAACACTTACCCCATAGTTCTCTTTTAAATCATGTGAATAAAGGTAAACACCCCTGACAATGTTATAGTTTGCCCCAATTCCTGTCATAGCCATGTGCAGGACAGCTTGGTCTGCATATAAACATGGAAACAATATATAAAAATGCCTTGAAATAAAAATAAATGAATATACTGAATGCTGTCATTACTTCCATTAACCTCAGATAGTTATCATAATATAGTAGTGGTATGATAGTGATTCTTTAAAGCCAAACTCGAGAGAGGAGGACAATTCTGAATATATAATTAGTAGCACAGACCTTCACACATTCAGTCATACAGGCTGCCTCCAGTGTCCTCAAAATTAGTTTCTTCTCTCACCCGATTAGTACAATGCTCGCTGTACTTACGGGCTTCTCAGAAGGCAGGTGCTGTACGTTTTATAGATCTCAGTGCTGTGTTTGCATACAGCACCCCTCTACTCTGAGCAAAGCACAAAGCAAAGCAAGCTCCATTTTGTGATTGGCCAGGAGGAGAGGGGGTCTGGGATGCGACCGCAGTGCTGAGGTCAATGAGACCTTTTCTCCTAGCCAATCACAAAATGGAGCCTGGGGTCCTTTGCCTTTTGATTGGCCAGGAGGAGAGAGGGTTCGAGATGCAACTGCAGAACTGCAGTCTATGAGACCCACAGCACCTGCCTTGTAAGCAGCCCGCGAGAACAATGGGAGTTGCACTAATCACATGAGAGAATAAATTAATATTAAGGACACTGGAGGCAGCTTGGATGAATGGACCTGTGAAGGTCTGTCTAATCCCCACTAATAAAGGTGAACTATGGTGTTAAGGCTTTTCCCCATAGTTCTCCTTAGGGTAACGGGAGGACACAAACTAGCATCCTCCCGTCACCCTAGGTACAGTATACCACGACGCCGCAGCTGAAGCGGATCCCGACAATTGTGCAGGGATCACTTGTAATCTTTATCAATTTTCACCTTGTGCTAAATTCTGTTAATATGTAAATTTGATAACGCTAAAAAACTGACATTTCAAAGCAAAAAGTTACATTGCTTAGCAGAGTTTCTAAAATGTCTCCCTAAACTAAAAATATCCTTTTAGATTATTCTCAATTATGCATTGCATTTGTTTAATTTTTAGCTATAACAGTATGTCTGATGATTCAAGATAGATTCAGTTTTTATAAAACCAAAACAAGGTTTACAGCAAGCAATTATTATCAGGTTTTAAGAAACCATGTTAGTTTAATACATCATCCAGTCCCTAGCTGCAACTCATGTGTATAACAGATCAAAGAAAACTCTGTTGAACTTGTACAAGACATACAGAACCAAGACACCACGAGCGGTCCATATTTACTACAGGAAGATGTACGGGTTCCCATTGGATGAATGAACCACTCCTCTAGTACAATGAACAGACAACAGGTTTTACAGTTTATATTTCTGCAGGAGAAGGTATTAGAGCTGAAGAATGGTTTGTCTTTTGGGAGTTTGCTGTCATTTGATTGCAAGAAATAAATAAATCAAAAGGCTGGTGGAATGCTTGTGGTATGGCAGCCTTCGAGGGCAGAATACTAACAACACTGCCTTGGGATGCACAACCTGTGATATTAATGCCTTAAGAACGCAGAGTTGATATGCAGCTCACTGTGCTTGTCTGAACTACTGTTTGATACATTTGTTCATACAGATATCAGGGGCATCTCATCTATCACAACTTCTACAGGAGACTATAGATACAGAAGGGTTGATTTACCAAAGGCAAATATGTTGTTCACTTTGCAAGGGAATTGCACTTTGCAGGGAAAGTTTCCATTAGCTTTGTGAATGTGGTGAAATTTAATTTTGCAAAGAATACCCAATCTCATATAATTGGATGATGGAAATCAGCAGAGCTTCACCTCATTCACTGAACTACGGTAAATTTGGCATAAATGCCTTTAAAAAAACCCAGAACATGAAAAGTTGGCATACCTTAACAGGTAATGAAGAAGTCAAAAAAAGTAGTTTTCAGGGCAATTGCCAAAAACTAGTGTGGATAGAGCAGCTGCCCTAACTTTCACCAACGGGATTCTATGGGGTCTATTCACGAAGCTGCCGAGGGCAGCCGAGTGAATGACCGATCTGAAGTGAAGTGAGCCGAACACTGTTCGGCTATTCACTTCAGGCTGGCACGGCTAATTTCAGCCGTACATCGGCTGAAATCAGCCGTACATCGGCTTGCTTCGTGTGGCTTCGGAGACCCCTATGTGTAGATAGCAAGCCGTCCAGTGCTAAAATTAACCCCAATATCCTGGCACTAGAATTGTGAATGTAGCCTGGAGGCAAACATCTGATTACTAAAGGCATTGGGATTCCGCCCTTAAGGTGAAAATTAGGGATGCACCGAAAATTCAGCCACTGAAACATATCAGCCAAACATGGCACTATGGGCAAAATGCTGAAAGTGCCATCTGTCAGCCGAAATAGTGGTGCATCCCTGGTTTCTCTCCTCCCCACTGGGCGCTGCTCTGTGCCCCCGCTGACATCCAGCAAGGAGAAGAGAAACTGTCACAGGAGGCCGAGGGGTGTGAGGGAGGAGAGCGCTTTGAGCAGCCAGCGCCTATCCTCCCACAAAACGCAGCCTCCTGTGACAGATTAGGAGAGTGGTGTGGGGGCAGAGACAGCTGTCAATGCTGTCACAGGAGGCTGAGCGTTCCTCCCGCAACGCTGGCTTGCCTCCTGTGACAGATCAGGAGAGCGGCGGTGTGGGGGCGGAGGCAGCTGTCAGCTGTCACAGGAGGATGGGCCAGCAGTGAGTGGGAGGACTCAGCTGTCAGAGGAGACCAAGCTCTCCTCCTTGCATTGCTCGCTCAGCCTCCTGTTACAGCCGATCCAGGATGGAGAGTGAGTACAAGCAGTCAACGATCAGTGATCCCTGAGTTTTTTGTAAATAATTGAGGACATAGTATGTTTACTGTGTCCCCAATTATGAATGAATGGGAAGTGTTCTACATCACTTCCTGTTCATTAATGATTGTGGACATGGTAAAAATACTATCTCCACAAGTTATGATTGAACAAGAACACTCACAGGGCTATTCACAAAAGGGTGAAGAGTTTGTAGAAGGCAGGAGAAGTGAACAATCTAGGCCAAAGTAGCTGATTTGGAAGAATCCTCCAATTCAGCTCACTTTCCAGGACAGCTTTGTTGTCCTGGATTGTTCCCTTCTCCTGCCTTCTCCAAACTCTTCACCCTTTTGTGAATAACCCTGTCAGTGTAGAGGATTCCTGTTCATTTATAAAAGGGGCTAAAGAAAAAAGACATTGGGGTTGATTTACTAACCTTATAAACACACCAGGAACATGTATACACCAATGAAAATAAAATATTTTTTAAAAATTGAAAAGGTTAGAAAAAAAACATTTTCCGTTTCGGCCTGACATTTTTTTACATTTCGGTTTGGTTTCGGTTTTGAACATTTTATTTCGGTGCACCTCTAGTGCAAATTATTTCTCACTTCATCACCTGATCCCTGGCCTATACCCTCCATCTACTTCTGAGCCTCTTTTCCTTTCACTTTAAACTCACACTCCTTGACTTTTCATAGTCTGAAGAAATATTGACAGCAGAGAAAAGTTTTCTTTTCCTTTTTCTCTAGTCCCTGTCTTGGAATAGCACATGTGACAGAGGGGAAGAATGATTTATTTTCCTTGTCTTGGATTTCATCACTTTGGCAAAGTATAGGTATTTAGAGGTGCCAAAGGTGCAGATATAGGGGTGTATGCGAACCAAGTAAGTAATTTCCCTGGGGAGAGTAATGGCAAGGATGTTCCTTGCTTTAAGCAGGCAACACCACTGTTTGTCCTTTCCACTATTTATTATAAATAGACTCCTGTGTATCTTATGATAATTTTTCATATCATACAGTATATATAGAACCTGACACAGCTTTTTTTATTGCTGTGCTTTTTGCATGTGCTCAGCAGCTCTACCATCTACACTTTCATGGCTGGCAAGATGAAATTATTAAAATATTCCTACCAAATCACTCTGATGATCCAGATCCTCATAAATCATACATGGAAGGAATGTATGATGGGAAAACATTAATTTGATCCTCCTCCTACACAGCGCTGGAAATTTACAAATAATAACATTCAGTCTGTTATCATCTAGCAAAGCATACATAGCCAACCTTCCCTTCGCTC